ATTCTTATTTTTTTTTTATAAGTTCTCTAAAGATGGGAAAATGGCAAGTATGACAATAAAATTTGCAAATTAAAGGGAGAATCTAAAATAATTTCATTACAAATGACACATTGCAAAATAATTCCAATACAACGGGAATCCTTTATATATTAAATCACAAATTTACTATTTTATTTTCTCTCTCATCTCTCTGTTCTTTATTTTTTTCCATTTTGCAAATCTCATCTCGTCGGCACCCCATCTCCAGTGGTGGCGATGACCCTTTCCCTTACTCTCACAGTCTATAGCTCCTCTCTCAACTTGCTTCGATCACCCCATCTCTTTCTCCAACCTCCTTGTTCACTCCCTTGTAGCACTTGAACTTCTACAAACCCTTCACACACCCCTCCTCCCCACCTCCCCCACTTGTTTCCTCTACATATTTGGTGGTAGCTTAGGTCCTGTCAAAAAGTTTTTGAACCAATAAGTCCCATTTATAAGTAAAAAGACGTTTTGCCCTTTAATCCCAAAACTGAGAATGTTCTCAATTTTTAAAACAGAGAATGATTTCAGTATATAATTATCAAAACTAAGAAATTTTTTAATTTTTTCCTAGTATGAACTGAAAATATTATCAGTTTTGAGAAATATCAATTTTTTTGGTGCTTTTGGTGCGGTGACTTTGGAGAAATCGAAGCTCGATATGATGCAGAAGCAAACCACATCAAGTCCTGAGGTATGTGTTCTCTTCTTGCTTGATCACAATTTGTTTGGCTTCTGAGAAAAGTATGGGATTGAAAAGAAAAATAATTCTATGAACCTGACACATTAGATTGTTGAATTGAGTTTTTTTTCATGATTAAAATTGAGAATATTATAAACTGAGAATATTCTCAATTTCAAAAAAGAGACTCAGCTTAAGAGTATAATGCAGTGTCATGTGTTTGAGTACCTGGTTCTGCCTCTACACAGTGACTCGAGTTTAACAGAGAGTTTGCAATTGAGGGTCGTGGCTTGCTTTGTGTTGCGATTGTAGAATCTAAATCTGGAGTTGACGACGCACTGGACGGAGGGGAAGCAATCGGAGGTGAGAGGAGAAGGATTGAGGCAAATGAGGAGCCGTACGGATGAGACCAAAGATTGGGTCTGTGGGAAGAAGAATGAGGGGTAATACGACGACGATCATCATGATCGCTGCTCCGATTATGTAGCGAAGAGGGCTCGGTGGTTCAACATCTATCACCATCCTGAGCTGAAAACACACACCCAAGCACAAACATGTATGTAATTTAACCCTAGACTCCTCCTATTGATCAAACAAGATCTACATCCAAATTCAGAGAGAGAGAGAGAGAGTTGCAGGCATCATTGGTGTTAAAGCAAGAAATAGAGATGATGGAACTCCAGTGCTAGTGTAGCGATGGTTGGAAGACGACCATCTGATTCCCAAATTCAGGTTTGGAAGGATAAATTGGTCTATTAAAAATTAATGAAACTTGAAGGAGCAAATAATTTTATCTAGGACTTAATGGATTATAAGTTCACAAAATGCGACTTGTATGTAAATGCCCGAGTTATAGGCATCATTGGTGTTACAGCAAGAAATAGAGATGATGGAATTCCATTGCTAGTGTAGCGATGGTTGGAAGACGACCATCTGATTCCCAAATTCAGGTTTGGAAGGGTAAATTGGTCTATTAAAAATTAATGAGACTTGAAGGAGCAAATAATTTTATCTAGGACTTAATGGATTATAAGTTCACAAAATGCGACTTGTATGTAAATGCTCCTTTCTTTTTTGACCTTTTAAGTTCATCTATTTTTGTAGAACTTAAAATTAGAAATTAGAAATTCTTATTTTTTTTATAAGTTCTCTAAAGATGGGAAAATGGCAAGTATGACAACAAAATTTGCAAATTAAAGGGAGAATCTAAAATAATTTCATTACAAATGACACACTGCAAAATAATTCCAATACGATGGGAATCCTTTATATATTAAATCACAAATTTACTCTTTTATTTTCTCTCTCATCTCTCTATTCTTTATTTTTTTCCATTTTGCAAATCTCATCTCGTCGGCACCCCATCTCCAGTGGTGGTGATGACCCTTTCCCTTACTCTCACAGTCTATAGCTCTTCTCTCAACTTGCTTCGATCACCCCATCTCTTTCTCCAACCTCCTTGTTCACTCCCTTGCAGCACTCAAACTTCTACAAACCCTTCACACACCCCTCCTCCTCACCTCCCTCACTTGCTCCCTCTTTTGCAACACCTCCTCTTTTTTTTATAAGTTCTCTAAAGATGGGAAAATGGCAAGTATGACAACAAAATTTGCAAATTAAAGGGAGAATCTAAAATAATTTCATTACAAATGACACACTGCAAAATAATTCCAATACGATGGGAATCCTTTATATATTAAATCACAAATTTACTCTTTTATTTTCTCTCTCATCTCTCTTTTCTTTATTTTTTTTCCATTTTGCAAATCTCATCTCGTCGGCACCCCATCTCTAGTGGTGGTGATGACCCTTTCCCTTACTCTCACAGTCTATTGCTCTTCTCTCAACTTGCTTCGATCACCCCATCTCTTTCTCTAACCTCCTTGTTCACTCCCTTGCAGCACTCGAACTTCTACAAACCCTTCACACACCCCTCCTCCTCACCTCCCTCACTTGCTCCCTCTTTTGCAACACCTCCTCGTTGTCATCTTAAATGAATCTTTTTATATTATTTTTAGTAATTTTTTTTGTCAAGTTTATTATTTAAAATATATTTCTTCTACCTTTTTGAGAAGAAAATTTATTTTTTAAATATTAAACTTAATTTTTATTAATGTATTTAGGGGTCTAATTGATATTGAGAGATAATTTAGAGATAAAATGAAATTTGGTGCACTTTTGCTTATAATTTATTAGATGAAAATAACTTAAATAAGTCAAAAAAAAATATGATTATCTAGGAGTAGAGGTAAGGATGCTTTTGATTTATGTTTTCTAGTTAGCAATTTTTAACTTATAATGAATTACACCAAACAAAGCCTTTGTAATACAATTATGGTCCTATTTTTATATTATATTTTATGGGTCTTCCTAGTGAGTTGTCATTAATTAAGCATAACAAAAGGTCCAAAAAATATATATATATATATATAATTTCAATCCAATTTTAATATATTTCAAATTATTTTTACATATTTTAATACATTTTTTCAACAATAACAATAACATTAAGACTACTTTTAGCATTTTTATTAGTAAAAAGGTCATAGACAATATAGATAAACTACACTAAACAAAATGTGATTGGACAGGGTAGTTGATAAATGTAGAGTTCAGATCTTCTAAAGTGATTTTTGATAGAAGTATTTTTTTTGTGCAGTTGAGATTTTTTTTAAAATGATTATCAAGACTATTGTATTCTTTAACTTAGTACTATTATATTCTCAATTTTTGTAGAATTATTTTGTCCTCAATCTTTATAAGATTAAATCTCAATCATTTAAAAAATCACTTAAAAAAATTACGTCTGAATTCGTCCAATATAAACTATCTTTTAAAATAGTATGAAAGCCAAAAATTCAAAATTTGAGTTACTAGAGTAATTACAATCCTTTCTTATAATGTAAAAGCAGTCCTGCTGGGTAGCTCGAAATTGGCTATCCTAAATGGCTCAAAATGTCAAAACGACGTCGTTTTAGCACATTTTTTGTTCTTTTTCTTTTTCTTCTTCCTATTTTTTCCTTCCCCCTCTCTTTTCTCTCTTAAACTGGTTTAAGAACCAGGCAACGACGACAGAAAGAGATGAGAATGAGGAACAAAAGAGGAAGACGAAGACAAAGACAGGACGCCGGAGATGGCTTCGCCGGCCGAATAGGAAGTCGTCAACCCATCACACGGAGAGAGAAAGAGAAACCCAAAATCCATTAAGAACAATCAAGCAAGTCTCAAACCCTTCTCTTTCTTCTTCTTCCTTTTTTCTTTTATGAATCAAAATCAAAATCAAAACCCAAAATCAAACCCATTGCCACATCTTCTTTTTCCTTCTCCCTCTCTTTTTTCTCTCAAACTGGTTTGAGAAACATGCGATGGCGATAGAAAGAGAGGAGAAGAAGGAACAGAAGAGGACGAGGAAGAGGAAAAGGAAGAGAGGACGTCGGAGAAGGCATCGCTGATCAAATGGGAAGCTGTCAACCCATCACACACAGAGAGAAAGAGAAACCAAAATCCACCAAGAACAATCAAGCAAATCTCAAACCCTTCTCTTTCCTCTTCTTCCTCTGTTCTTTTTTGAATCAAAACCAAAATCAAACCTACAGCCACAGTCACAACCACAAATCAAAATCAAAACCCAAATCAGACAAAATCAAACCTAGATCTGTTCCTCACAACCATAGATTGTGGTTTCTCACGGCCATAGAGAAATTGATGCTTTTGGAGAAGGAGAGAGAAAGAGAAAGAGAGAGACATTCGGGCCATTCGAGCCCCATGAATGTTGAGCTACCAGGCATTTTTTAATCAACTAATATTCTATCGTTTACGCTAGAAATAAAAATAAAAAATAGGAAAATTTTCATTAATGGAAGAGAAGACCCAACAATGAGACTTCATATTTGAATAGACTTCTATCCATCTACCAGCCTCCACACTAATCATCAATACATAACACAAACAAACAAAAAATCATTAATAATTATTATACATAATAATATAGTTCATTATGACTTTTTATTTTAAAATAAATTATCAGGATTTTTTTATAATAATGATATTATCACATTATTTTTGTTAAAATTTTATATGAATTTTTAAAAATAAAAATTTTTCTTAGGTAAATTTTACTATGCACCCGACTATAATTATGTTATTTTTTGCTTAAATTATAATATTTTTGAATTATGGTAATATTTTAATTATGATTTATGAAATATTTAATTATATATATTTTTAATTATAAATCAGAAAATATGAAGTTGGTCGTTATTCTTTCTTTTAAAGTGCATATCACGCAATAGTCTTTCCCATCTAATATTTATAAACCCCCATTTCTCTCTGAGACTTTGAGAGTTTTCTCAGCATTTACACAGAGAGAGAGAGAGAGAGAACTGAAATTGATCATTGATCCCACACCATGTCTGAGATCGTCAAAAAAGGTTGGAACAAGTACCTGCTTCAACTTCAACTCAACCCTCTCAGAACCAAGGTCTGTCTTTCTCACGTACCCATTATAATATATACAATTTCAATCGATCTTTTTATTGTTAGATGTGATTTATTTGGTGATTTTTTGAATTGGGTAGGCAATTACTTCTGGGGTTTTGATTGGAAGTAGTGATATAATAGCTCAGAAGATCACTGGAGTGAAAAAACTTCAATTCAGAAGAGTACTCCTTTTAATGGTATTGTTTGACTTTTGCTGATCGTGTGTAATTTTCTTGCTATTTATTGATTTGGGTTTTGTTTAAAATGTTTTGATGAGGAAATTAGTGATGGTGGTTTCTGGGTTTTTGGAATTTTTGGGAAATTGATTTGCAGCTCTATGGGCTTTTGTATTCGGGACCGTTTGGCCATTTCTTTCACAAATTGATGGATCTGATCTTCAAAGGAAAGAAGGGCAACAAAACTGTTGCAAAGAAGGTAAAAAAATTTAAAAAAAAAATCACATAATGTGAGAAAGATGTGATATAAAATGTTTGCGAACAAAATGTTTAAATCTATAGTAGGGGAGATTTTGTTTTACATCTGTGCATTTAGTGTGCCGAACTTTCTGTGTTTAGATTTTTATTTTGTATTTTTGTGGGGTTGAGTACACGGACACCCCTCAGCTATCACTTTCAAAATGGTATATTTAGACCGTTTTGTATTATAGTCAAGCAATTCAAATGTACAATTTTGAAGGTGAGGGTGGTGAAATGATACTTAAGTGATTTTTTAGGGGGTGCTTGTGTAATTAACCATTTTTATTATTAGATACTTCACATGCCAATTTAGGTGCTTTTGGCTTTTCTAAACATGTGGTCATTACACAACACTTCTTTTTCCTTTTATAGGTTTTGTTGGAGCAATTGACTTCTTCTCCTTGGAACAATATGCTTTTCATGATGTACTATGGCGTGGTAGTTGAAGGTATGTAATTAGTTTAACAATTGCTTGACACGGTAAATTCGTAAGTGGCAGTCTTTTTATTTTTTATTTTTATGTTCAATATCTTTAATTTAGTTAGATTAATGTCATGATTGGTTATTTGAAACATTGGCTTGTTTAGGAATTGAACTTTCTTTCAGTAGAGACGTAGAAGTTGCCACTTCTCATCCTGTGATCTTGGAGCCTTGCCAGGTGGACTAGTTGTTGGCTTTTTGGCTACTTCCCTTTTGTCCTTTTTTTGTCCTCTTCTATTTTTTGGAGAACTATACTAACTAGTTCATAAACCCCAATTTCATATTTGAAGAAACTAAGGACCCATTCGGATATAAGCTATTTTAGCCTAAAAGCTACTACAAATTGTCACATCATTTTCTCTACTTTTTTGTCTGTCTTTTCGTAAAAAATCAAAAAGTCAATTAAAATAACCAATTCCCAAAGCACCCCTGAGACTATTGATGTGCTTAAAAGTGCACAATTGCCTTGAATTTGACAAACAAAATGAACATTTTATTTATACTATTGTATAAAGCCTACAACGAAGTTGGTAAAACTTTGCAACACTTTTTTTGGTTTCCGATAATGCCCACACAAGAGCAGTAATGCCACACAAAATTGCTTTAGTTTTTTCTTTTTTTCTAAAAAATTTCTCTTCTCAACATCTTCGGTTGTAGATGTCATATCTGTTATCAGAATCTTACGATTCGCGATTCGATTCACGATTCGATACGCAATTTTTGCAAAATCGATACGAATCTATGAGTGAATTTATTTTGAAAGTGAATCTCTGCTGAATCGCATGATTCACAATCGATTCACGATTCGACTCACTTTTTACGATTCATGCAATTTTTGAAGTTATTGTGTTCGACATAATTTCGACTCATTTTTTTGCATCTTTTTAGTGAAAATGACATAATACAACTTCTAATAGCATATACCAAAATAATCAACATATATATATCATTTGTTGTTATTTTAGTGATTATGGAGTTTTTTATAGGATCCAATCAGATTCAGTCAGACCTAACATATTTTTAACATTTCTTCTCATTTTTTTCCCCTTTAAAAAATTGTAATATATCTTCTAATAATGTTTAAGATTAAAGTTACACTATGCATTATCTATTACTATGCATTAAATTGAATATTACATGTGTGAGGTCAGTTATACCTTTTAAAATGTTTTAGGCTTTAAAATAAAATATCCTAAATAATTCTTTCTTATTATTTGCTCACTCTTACTTAGAAAAGTCTATATGCTTATTGTCCAAATATCAATATCGTTGTTAACTATTGTTACTTTAGAAATTAACAGTTTGTCTATTTGGTTATTATCTTTATTAAGAATGGTTGATAAAAAATATCTAAAAAAAAAAAAAAAATTTACATAGGAACCTTTGTTAACTTCTTACCTATTAAATTACTGATTATCATTCAAAATAACATTTTTGTTGATTTAAGTCTAAATATTTTATATTCATAATATATATTTAACATCTAAATGTGTAGATATATGTTTTTAAGTAATTTATAAAAAGTGACTGAATCTTTACGATTCATGATTCGATTCGCGATTCGGTACGAGACCATTTCGATTCACGATACGAATCCCGATTTGACAATAACACACACATCATGTGTGCACAACCACTAGTTTTAAATGAAGCTAGATACTGGGATGTTTTTTACTGTTAACTCAGACTGCATTATAAATTTATGAAAGATTCAAGAGTACAAGACATGAACATCAGGATAACACAGTACTTTCATAAAGGTGAATATTTGCCTGCCAAGACCAAAGAGTAGGAACACAGTTTATTTAAATTGATTAGTCCTTAATGTAGTACTTCTAGTTCGTTACTGCACAAGCTAAGATTGAAACTTCCAATTGATTGCTTATTTCTGTAATTTTGAAACATTCCAACCCTAAGAAACATGTGCACAGAAAAGAAAATACATTGAAAATTTGAAATAGAAAAAAAGAAAAAGAACTTGAAACCCCTGTCCAGCACAAACAGAGGTTTAAGCTTTATCACAGTTTTATGCGAGGAATCAGCTCCCAGAATGGGAAAAACTTGTTTGTAACTGAGAGATCAGTTTTTTGCTATACAAGTCAGCTCTAGGTTTTGGTTAAACAACTAGAAGACATTATGCTACTTGAGAACTGCTTATATTGGGTAGTTTTCCCCTGATTTCCATCTGTGGTATTTTATACAAGTGCACATGTCCCTCTTTTGATGGCTGGAACATAATTTTTAGTCCGTTTTGCAGGTTCCTTGATCTTTTGGTACTTGTTTCTTTCTCCTTATGATTGAGTGTTCCAGTACAATATATCTGTTTCTATGCTTTGCTGGAATTTTCCCCCCCAAATTACTCTTTATCCTGTAGCTGGAATACAGGCCTCCTAATAGATGCTTCTGCTAATATGACTTAAGGTTAATTACAGTTACCCGCTTGAGGTTTGACCGAAAAGCACATAACCCCATGTGGCTCTAAAATGTACTTTAACTCCCCTATGATTTGTGTTGTAGAGTTAAATCTAATTGGGTTAATATTTTTATGTGAAATGTCTAAAATACCCTTAGTATTTTCTCTAATTTCTGAGTTCATTTTCTATATCTAGCACCCATCACCTTCCAGAGTGGCCACCACATGATTTTCTCTATCTAGCACCCATCACCTTCCAGAATGGCCACCACAAACATGTGGTGGCGCCATTAGTTATGGTGAGGTGGTGGATATAGTGGGGTGTTGAGAAAGATGAAAAAATAAAAGAAAATGAAATAATTTTTTTCCTTAAAAGGGCATTTAATTAATTTTTGTCTCTAAAAATTTATTCAAGTACAATCAAAATGTTCCCAATCAGCATTTTGTAACACATGTTGTTATGTTTAACAGATTCCTTTACTTTTGTGATTTAGTCCAAATCACAAAGGGGTTTAAATGTAGGTTTTTTGTGCCATTGGTTGTGTGTTTTTGGACCAAACTGCAGGGAAGTAAAATGTATTTGACTCTAAAATTTATTCATAGCCACCTAATTGACTCTATTGTTTAAGCGCTTCATAATGATTCGGAATTTATTTTTTTTCTTATTAATTATGTAAGATAAAGATAGAGAGCATGATTTGGCTTTGCAGGAAGACCCTTTGGTGCAGTTAAGAATAAAGTTCGAAAAGACTACCCCTCTGTACAGTTAACTGCATGGAAGGTATTATGACATGATACATCATTTGTTTTGTGAACACACAGAAGTTTTTTTTTTGTTATGAGTATGGCAGTAATAAAGAAATGATGCTTTTGTTTTTGTAGTTTTGGCCAGTAGTTGGATGGATCAATTACCAGTACATGCCTTTACAGTTCCGTGTCCTGTTCCACAGCATTGTTGCCTCATGCTGGTGCGCATCCCTTGTTTCCTTCATTTCCTTTCTCCTCTCTTTTTCACCTTATGTCTTGGAGGCTGACAATCATGTTAAATCCTTTTCTTGTGTGCAACAATGGCTAGAGATTGGAAACATTTAGTTCAATGAAATCATGATGTTTGTTAACTAGAGCATAATATGCATCTTTTTGCAAGTATATAAAAATGCATTCAAATTATTATGGAATTAATCAGAGAGGAAAACTCATTTTAGTGAATGAATATAAAGAATTTTTCCTATAGGAACCACAAATGGTATCATCCTGCAAGCTAATAAGGAAACACGAGTTATATCTGTATCTATATATATACATGTTTTTATTTCTGAATGATGCATGTCTTGCCCTAACAAGGATGTATGTTTTTCATGCGTGTCTAAGTGATACATGTGTTGAGAAGTGTCCGATGAGATATCAGGTGGGTGTACGACAAGACATGCCACCTTCTTAGAAGTGTCTGTGCTTCTTGGGGTACAATGACGTGATGTTTTCCAAGCCCTAGTTTTCCTATTGTGGTTTGGCTGGGCAAGCACCTTGATGAATAGTCATACCAATCAATTGGGCTTAACTGGGCATTCTGAAAACTACGGCTTGGAGGGCGACAGAGATTTTGGCATCATATAGTCTAATGTAATTAGGCATAGATTTTAACGATTGCAAATGTCAAAAGATATTTTCTCAAAAAATGTTGAAATGTATAGACTGTTCAGTGCATGATTTACAAGCATATGGTCTTACAAAATAAAATGTCAACCTTATAATCACCTTTTGAGTTTTCTGAGATAGTGTTAACCTGGAATAATATGTTTGAATGTCCTATAATGATTTTGGAGCCTTCTCAACTATGTTTGGATGGCTGGAATATTAAGGCAGAATGAGAATCTCATTCTGGGTCTACTTTATCCTGTTGTTTGAAATGCGATTCCTAATTAGTTCTCCATGGAGGAGTGAGGTTACTGTCATTTCCACATCCTTGTGGGGATCTCACATTCTTGGGAAAATGTGAACAATTTAAGAGTAAAACAAATAGACGAGCCCACATTATTTAAAATTTTATCTATTTTTCATAGAAAATTCATAAACAAACCGAACACTTGAATTGCATTGACTCCAGAATCTTTTGCCTAGTAATAGGATTCCTGGCAATGACTTTTTCATTCGTTCTCTTTGATTCCTGACATCAAAACATAAGAAAAACTTGGAAGTTGGGAATGCTAACATGAAAATACATGTCATCACAACATAAAATGCAAATATCATGAAAAGAAGTTACACTGCAATTACATGGTTGTTTGATGTATTAAAATTCATAGGGATGCAATACTCAGGACAAAGTTAGCAATTTGTAAGTATGTATATCGTTATGTTCTACACATTTAGTACAGCTGGATTGGTTACTAATTTGCTTTTTCTCTACTTCTTGAATTCAGGGCTATCTTTTTGAATCTGAGAGCAAGATCTGTTGTCATTAAGAAGGCCTAGAATGGAGGAAGATGGCCTTCTCTCTCTCTCTCTCTCTCTCATTTTCCATTTTTAGTTTGAGCTTAAAACTTTTATTTTGTTTCCTCAAAAAAAAAAGAATCTCTTATTTTGTGAAGTTTGCAATGTTTAGAGTTATGCTTAGATACATATCATCAGTGAAATTATTGAAGAATCCATGATGGATTAGTGTATAATTGTTAAAACAACAATGCTACAGAACTCAAAAAATTTATTCAAAAAATTACCCAGAAAAAAAATTCAATGATCTACATTTATTGTGGGTATGGCTCATATCCCACTAACTTTAAATTTACACAATATACACATTTCAGGGTAATATTCATAATAAATTTTTGTGGTTCATAGCATTTTTGTTAAAATCCCTGTTTGCTTGATTGTAAAAATTGAATACTGTGCTCCTCCATTTTACGGTTACTCAATTCAAATTAAGGATACTACCTGATGAATTTTACATTTTATTTATTTATTTATTTATTTATTTTTATATTATGTATTTCTTATGTGGTTCAACAACAAATTAAAAAAAAATCATTGATGCAATGAAAAAGCACCAAACCCATCAGACCTTAGGCCATGTTTGATTGCCTCACTATTAGTGGGATTGAAAGTCGAAGAATTATGTGAGACTCATCGGATTGTTAGTCTGTTGTTTAATTGCAGGATAAGGAGAAAGTGATTGAAGGTGGGGAACATGTGAGTCTCACTGGATAGTTCAATCCAGTGTTTGTTTTGCATAGTATTAAACCCTGAATAATTCCATCATATCTAATCTCAAAAAATAATTCGACAGTCAAATGTGATTTTAAAGGTTAGTGAAGCTCAAACATCTGCATTGGAATCTAGGATTATCTTCTCATATCCCCTCCAAATAAAAAATAATATACACAACAAATACCATATATACATATAAACATATGGTGTTGATTGTGTAGATATACATATAACATTTTAAATGTTAATTTTTGAATTATCACATTCTCAACTATATAGGCTCAATTTTTTTGTCATATGTTATTGGTGAATCTAAAGAAAGTCTCTCCATCATATGCATTAAATGCATACTTGTAGGGAGATATTTTGTGAATAATAGCATGTGGTCAAGGTGACGCCGAAGCGTCAGTCGAGATGCCATGTGGTTTGGTCATGACGCTGAGATGATCTCGGTTAGGCTGAGGTTATTTGCGGAGATACCGAAATTTGAGATAGGCAGATAAGGGGCAAGAATCTTAGAACAGGTTAGGCTTCTACAGGGGTCAAATCACTTCTGCGTATAAAGATAAGGCACCTTCGTGGGTCTAAGGTAAGTTATTTCCTAGTGAGTTTTGAGTACTCTTTGCTATTTTTGAGAGATATTGATTACTGATTTGATCGTCGAAGTGCTCCTCGGTGGACAAACTATCACTGGATTCTCATCTTCTTGTGCAGGTTATTGGGCTTAATTTATTCTGTCGGTGCTCTTTAGCTGAGCTCCCCGTTTAGTTGTGTGGTCAAAAATCAACACCCACAATATTTTTATTTTTTAAGAAAAAAATTGTCAATCTTTATTTCATCATAAATGGAATACTATAAAAACCTATTTGATAACGAAATTCCCACTTAGGACTTTATATTGAATAAAGATGTTTGTTAAATTTTATTATAAAAAAAAAAGTCTCAACAATGATTCAATCAATATATTGTTTTTTATTTTCATTTTTAAAATGTTGAATGTCAATATGTTTACATATAATTTTTTTATAGTACATGTGATATGAATTATTTGCTCAAACTATAAATTTAATTTTTGCGAATATAAATATTTTTATTATTGTTTTTTTTTTGGATAATGACTAAAAACTTATTTGTTTGATTTAAAAAAATAATAATTGCTTCATGAAATTAATAAAATTTAATTAATATTTTTTTAAAATTTGTTTGATACTTTTAATCGCGCCCCTCTTACACAAAATTTATAAGGAGACTTACGTGTAAGTTCTAATAGATGGACTTATTGTTCAATAGATTCTATAATAATTAATGGCATTTTTCATCAAACTCTATTAAAAACGTCATTAATTGTTAATTTTCAACGACAACTTGAAAATTGTCACAAAAAATGTCACTAATTATAAGTTTTAGCAACAGTTTAAAAAAATATTACAGAAAAGGTCACTAATTTTCAACTTTCAATGACAATGTGAAAAATCCGTTACAATAAACGTCACTAATTGTAAGTATTAGTGACAATTTATAAAAATCGTGATAAAAAATGTCACTATTTGTTAATTTTAGTGACATGCAAAAAATGCACAAAAAATTATTTTTATCGACGATTTTACTAACACTTATTTTCAATAGAACTTTATAGGAGTTCAATTATTAGGATATATTGGTAGTTTACCAAATTTATAATTCTGCACCTATTTCTATGCAAATTATTTTGTTTAATTTACCTACTGTGTTTAGTTTGGGGATTTGGAGAGAGATTTGGAAAGAGAAAGAGAAAAGGTGTGTGAAAGTAGATGAAATATAAGTACATTTTATTCACATTTCATCTATCTTTTCCCTTTCTTTTTCCAAATTCCTACTCAAATTTTCAAACCAAACACAGCATAAATGATTTTTTTCTTGAAAGCACATAATACATATTCTCTAGTGATTTTGATTACATTGCAAATTAGATTTAGAATACCCTAACCCCTCCTACCCTTCACTTTGGTAGAAGGGCAAAATTATCTTTTTAGGCCTATAATTCAATGACTTCGGTTTTATTTGCATTTTAGTTCTAATCGTAATTAAATTTGTAAAATGCAATTTCCCTTTAAAATGTAATTTAGCTTAGATCCTATTCACAAAACTTTAAACTCATAAGTCCTCTGTTAATTTTATATGACCAATCTATCTTTACAAATTCAAAAACACAAGACACCTCGTCCACTCTCTCTCTCTCTTCGTTCCTCTCTCTATCTCCACAAATTTTAGACTTTTTTATTTTTATGTTCACAAATTCCAAAGCAACAAAGCTAGAAGATCATATACTATCATCAAACATTGATATCAGTTGGAAACATTCTCATATTTGAAGTCGTTCCTCTCTCTCTATCTCTACAAATTTTAGATATTTTTACTTTTTCGTGTTGAAACAATCTTCTGTATAAAATAAACAACTTGAAACAAATTAAACAAATTGCTTACAGAAATTTATTTACCAAAACAACTTAACAATAAAAATGACGAAGTTGAGTGTGTAATACTCTGTTCTTAAGATAGATTCTCCGCGCTTCGGTGTTTATGAATAAATGACGTCTATCTCCCAGGATACAATGATCTTTACACAGATTTTAGTAGCACTCTAAACAATCTGTACGGCGAACAAAACCTATGTTCTATACTCTCAGAATTTTTCCTAAAATAATATGATGAATATATCTATACAAGAGAGCAAAAACAAGGCAAGAAGAAGATTTTCATAATCAATAAAAAATGCTGGAAGATGGTTTGTATTTGTATGGCCGAACAAGTATGATTTCAAACCTGAACAGGTATGAATTCAAACTGGAACAGGTGCAAGATCTGTTTGAACCCAGTCTTGAATCTATCTAGAACAAAACTGAATATGTCCGGTGCAATAGGTTGAAGACTGTTTGAACCTGTGAAATGGAACCAGAAGAGGCACTGTATGGACAGAAAATTGAATTCAAATTTTAGCGCAAAATCTGAATTAATTTCGTTCAGAAAAAATTCAAATAAATTTTGTCCAAAAAATTAATATTAGAACCGACCTAACCCACAACCCACACCCCCGTCCGGCACGACATGGCTCGGCTGGCCGGTCAGACGAACGGCGGCGGTGCGCGCATGCATGTGTAGTGCTTTGGGCTAAGGCCCACTTTGTCCATAACTCCTCCCTTCTACAAACTTGGGGTGCCCCTTGAGGCCCAACCCAAGTGTTGCCACCTAGAACTTATATACACACATAAGTTCTCTTAAGTTTTCAATGTGGGACAACCATTACAAGGAAACCCACTTTTGACTCTTTAATTGTCTATTCCACGAACCCGAAAACGACGTCAACTTCCCATTCACTCATAAATAGTTTTGATGAACCGTCTTCACCGTGTGACTTGCCATGGGGCAAGGAACACGTCACCTTTTTGGACCTACCCCAAAAGACGTTTGGGACCCACTTAAATTTGGGCTTAAAGTTGGCCCAAAATAAGTCTATAAAAATCATAAATTCCAACAATCCCTCACATGAATGAAATTTGACAGAGAAAAAATGCAACAACATGATCTAATTACAGAGAGTACAGAAATTGAGAATATTCTGCAAAGGATAAGTAGTTTTTGGCTTTGAACCTTCCCTTGTGAGACACTATCCGATTTACTAGTTAACCAGTGAACATGATGTCTTGAACTGTTCAGCTATTTGTCTAAACCAAGACAATAGAACTCACACAGTATATTACCAGACACAGTTTAGTTCTCACTATTGTGTTCATTTTGGCCCTAAACAACCTGGTCTTTCATGAGTGCTCTAGAGAATTGTAACCTTTCACAAATCTCATAGAAGTGGCCCAGCTCACACTCATATAGGTGATTCTTATAAAGAGTATCTTGCCATACTCCACTAGGTATTCCTAGATATAAGAATCATTAAAAGTATTACTTAACCTAAAACGCTGCAGACATCACTATATCATCATAGAAATGGGTAAGAGTTTGACTCCCCAGTGATCCTTATGAGTCATACACAACTCGGTTGTCCCTTTGAACCTAGATCTTGGGATCTCCAGTCAACTAAGTTGCGTTGCGGTTGTGGTAACTCTTATTTAATAGGCTTAAGTCCCATTCCCCTCTATAAATTCTCAGCTAACTCTCTTGCTAACCCTTTGGTTAATGGATTCGCTATGTTGTCTTTAGAATTCACATATTTAATGGAAATAATTCAATGAAAATAATTTCATTAGAGAGTAGTTGCCTCACGATGTTATGTCGACGATGAATGTGTCGTGACTTACCATTATACATATGGCTCTGTGCTCTACCTATTGCTGATTGACTATTGCAATGTATGCATATAGCAAACACCGGTTTCGACCACATTGGAATATCTTCAAGGAAGTAACAAAGTCATTTTGCTTCTTCCCCAGCTTTATCTAAAGCTATAAACTCTAATTCCATAGTAGGCCTAGCAATGCAAGTCTGTTTGGAAGATTTCCAAGATACAGCCGCTCCACAAAGAGTAAAGACATACCCACTAGTGGATTTTGAGTCTTTAGTATCCAATATCCAGTTTGCATCACTGTATCCTTCAAATATTGCTGGATATCTAGTATAATTAAGTCCAATGTTACGAGTAAATCGGAGATATCTTAGAACCCTTATAATAGCTTTCTAGTATTCTACTCTTGGATTACTCGTATATCTACTTAATTTACTTACTGCATACGCTATATCCGGGCGAGTACAGTTCA